TAGTTGCATACGCACCGCACAAACTCTTCCTTGAGGCTCAAGAGACCCTTACTTTCCCTTACTTATTCCTGACTTTGTTCATACGTCTGCACAAATAATCACCACTATTAACACGTCTTTGTCATCAAATGAGACATCGTGCAGTTTTTTTATGCCTCTATGGTAAACTTTCAAGAATGGCCGCTGTATTTTTCTCCTGTTATTTATAAATTTCCTCATAAAACAATAAAAAGTCCACTGCATGATATATTTTAAATCATCAGCCAACAAAATATTCCCCTTCTATCATAAACAAAAATTTTAAACTTTCAGAGTTCGAACAACTTTTTCTCATTTGTTTCTTTTCTAGCATCTCTTTTTAAAGTGGGTTGATCTGGATCTGCAGCCGCTCGCTCTCAATCAGAGCACAATCAGTTCCTGCAATCAACGAAGGCCATCAATTGCGATCGTCGACAATCGTGAGTGATTGTTCAATGCTACAAAGAAAGTCCTACGAAAGACAATTCTTCAGTCTTGTGGACTCTTGCTCACTTCCCGGCAATTTCCTTGTTTACGATTGACGCTCGAAACCAGCCACAAATTAGCTGACTTTTTGCCCGCCATAACACACGGGGCCGAAGAATGAAGAATGTGTTCAGTATCACCTACTGCTGCAAACATCAGGCATTGACTGCTGCCACGTTCATCCTAAAATTTTTATTAAATAAAATTTTAGACCTGCGATCCAATTAACTTACTTTTCGTCGGCACAAACACGCTCAGTCGATGAGTTTGCATGACCGTCAAGCGGTCTCATCGATTAGTCGATTGGATGTTCGGAGTCTTTTTACTCTAAGGAGCTCCATGTTATCTTCCTATGACTCTGATTATCATGCCTTAGATCAATTAAGACGCTGACAAGACAAATATAACGACTTACCTAATTCTAAATCCAGTCAATGACCAAGAATAATCTCTTATCACTAATTGGCAATGTTAAATTTCATTGCAATTACTTCTTTCATGCCTAAATCAAGGTCAAGATCCATTGATCGTATATTTTAATTTTGACGTTAATTCAAATAATCATTGCACGTTTTTGCTTCAGCATAGCATAAATTAATTAAATCAGATACGCTAAAATTCGCATAATATAGAATGCATTAAATCATTTGACTGAAACATGGCACTGCTCTAAAGCCATTGATTATAATACTTGATTCCTGCAGTCTCACAGTCTTCGTGCTCCCGAAGATAGTAAAGTCTCGTAAGCTCTATCATGACCGTAAGCAAGCTCAGTGCTGACGCGATGTACTTCCTCTTTTCTTCGATCCCTTGACCAGCCTCGTGACCATAAACCTCGGTAAATGTAGCCGTGCTGCTCTCCTCTACTACATCGCCCTCATCTCCATGTGATCCCTCGCCTCCATGTGATCCCTCACCTCCTTGGGATCTCTCACCTCCATGTGATCCCTCACCTCCATGTGATCCCTCACCTCCATGTGATCCCTCGCCTCCTTGTGATCCCTCACCTTCATGTAATCCCTCAATCCCTCTTTGGCTTCACATTCACTGTAACGCATTCAACTTGGTTGAAATTCCCAGCGACATTCTACAATTTGCGCAACAAAACTATCCTGAAATCTGTCCAACGAATACTTAAATGTATCGCTAAAAGATCAATAATGTAAATTTATTAAGAATTCATCATTTGGGTTCTGAATGAATACATCTTTCAATTATGTACAATGAGTAAACATTTCCAATGAGTGGTTATGTTCAGTCATTGCGGATTCAACACTGAAAGTCAGCGCGGAGTCATTGCCAACACAAGAAGCCTGATGCTTTCTGATAGCGTCGCTTTGTGAACACAAAACCAAGCAAGTTAAAGGGGACCATCCCAATCTCAGCGAGCCTCTTCTACTGCCTCTACACCCACCATACCTGCGCCTCATCAACATTCCTCTTCACCCACTACACCTCTCTCTGCACCCACCACACCTTTCTCTGTACCCGCCACACCTCTCTCTGCACCCACCAAACCTCTCTCTGCACCTGCCACACCTCTCTCTCTCCCNCTCTGTACCCGCCACACCTCTCTCTGCACCTGCCACACCTCTCTCTTCCCCCGCCACACCTCTCTCTGCCCCTGCCACATCTTCCTCTTCACCCACCGTACCCTCCTCTTTACACACCAAACCTTCCTCTTCACTAACCAACTAGGATCACCCACCACAACTTCCACTTCACCCACCATGCCTTCCTTTCATCCAGGTACTGCACCTTTCTTTTGATCCACCATCTTTTTCTCATCACTTCCCACACCTTCGTATTTCCCCACTACAGCTTCCTGTTCATTTCCCACATCTTTTTCATAGACCGACAAATATTTTTCTTCACCCACCACACATTTCCTCGTCCACAAACATACCTTCTTTCTCACCTATCAAAACTTTGTCTAAACTCTCCATTTACAGTATTTCTATCTCCATTTCAAGCCTCACTTACGTTGATGTGAAAGATAACCAACAAGAAATGCAGTGGCCCCGCAAAAGTTTGTTTAACAGTACTGTTCATTACAGTATGAAGTGTAAAATTTTTCAGATGAAATTTAAATGTATAGGAAGTGATTTAACTGACGTCCTGAGCTGCTAGACAATATTAAGAGTCGCTCGCACAAAGCCAAAAATACTTTCAATACTTAGGAATCAGAAAACTTGTGTCTCATTGAAATACCCACATCTTAGAATGTAATAACATCAAAATATCATTAAACATATTTGTTAATAAAATCGAACTCATAGGTCTAAGTATTTTATATCTCACTGGATAGTTTTAGGCGCAAAACGCTCTTTTTAGCGCATTTTCTCATTTATGGAAAAAATGCACTATTTTGCTCGCCATGTCCGTCTGTCTGTCTGTCTGTCCGTCCGTCTGTCCGTCTGTCCGTCCGTCCGTGACCTGTCTCTTATACACATCTAGATGTGTATAAGAGACAGCGTTCAACCTCAACTGTGTAATAACTGTACTATAATGTTAAATAGTTGTGTGTAATAACTATATAACTGATTCAACGATAACGACCACTTAAATTTACATATTTAAAGATATGTTAAAAAATATAGAAATTGTCATTCTGAAATCGAGATTTGTCGTCCGCGCTGTCCGTTCATTTACTCAGGTGCCCAAATATTAATAAATACACAACATCGTTAATAAATATTTTTATTATTATAATTTTCAATCGTATTCTTTGCGTTAATTGCATTTATAAAAACCGATCAATAATGGCTTGTAACGAAAGATTCAAGCGAAAATACCCTTGTATCTTGTATCTGCTTGTTTTAGTAGAAAATTATAGCTAATATACTGACTGTGAAAATCAAATCAATTTTGGCTTAAGATCACTCAGGAGGCACGGAATCAAATTGAAATACTCAATATAGAGCAGCATGTGGGGCGGAGCTCAAAAGTTTCATTCAATCTGACATTAAACTTCATACTTTTAATTGATATAAATAATATAAACATAATTAATTAATTTTATATTAAATTTTTCATTTGATAGTACACTTCAATTTATTCATTAAACCTCAAATACTTTGGTGGCGAATATAGATGAGCAAGCATCATTAGACACGTTCGCGTCATGTTATTTCAAACGCGTTAAATGATGAAATGACGCAAGGCAGGCGTTAGGAGCTGCGAACTACGAGATTATCTTATAAAAGTCAATTACCGTAATGAAAAATTTTCTCATCACTTTGAGATATTGTATGGAATATTTTCGTGATACTAAGTGGAAGAAGCATTTATTCGAAATCGAGACTTTTGACATCATCAAAGAAATACTTAAGCAGAATGGCCGAATTTTTAAACGATGCTATACCTATCAATACAAACCAGTAGTTTCGAGTTGAACTTATATGGTACACACAAATTAGTTATGGTGACAAATTTTTAAATGATAATTATTTTCCCCTCATATCAAAGAATTACGTTGAGCCGAGGAACTCAATTTAAATCGCCTGGCTGATGAGAGATTGCAATCAGAATAAAAAATTTTTTAGGAGTTATAATCCAGGCTACCATTTGCTAATCGATATTCATAGAGAGATGAGATGGTAAGCGATGTATGCTGCTTCACAAGGAAGTATGCTTTGATTTCAGTTTCATCTTATACAAAGCTCATGAGCACAAACATTTCTTGTATTTCGGCGTGAAATGTCTTTCCGGTTTCAAGTTTGATAAATTCTACGGTGTTTGTACCTGAGATTTAAGTAACTGTTTTTTGAACTTCTCTGGGTTAAATCCACAGTCTAATTGGTCACGACAATTTTGCGACTTCAATTTAAAATCTAAACACATTTAAAGTCGTGTAAAGGTATTTACCTCCGAATTCGCTTGCGATAATGAAGCAATTCACTGCAACATAACTGGTTTTCATGCTACGAAACCCTCGACTTGCTGGAAATCGTCTGTAAGCCTTCTTACTTTCCAGTATTTTGAATGTGTCACCCAGCAATTTGATCCCAAATTAATGTAGGTGAATCGGTTTATTTCACGAATTGATCACTCAAATATAAGCGTTAATTACTTCCATGCTAAAACCGATACATACTGAGAAGGCCCACATTTACATAGAGTATTTCTTATCAATTATATTTTTATTTATGGAAAATAATAGTGACCTCTAGATGTTTAAGACTAATTTAATGAATATATCGGCTCACGAAATCTTACCGATATATATCACGACTAAAACAATATTATTTGCAGTAAATTGAATATTATTACAAATATTTTTTTTTCTATCAAATCTAAAACCAAACACACTTCGCTTGAACCAAAAAATATTTATGAACATAATATTATATTTTTCCTATCAATACGCTATGTTAACCTTGACATCGGAGACCAATTACACAAATTTCTATTGATAACAGAACACTAAGCGACAATAATAAAAATAATATATACTGTATTAACAATATAGTTAATAATAATAATTCTTATCTCACCTGGAAGTGCGGGATGACAACGAGATGCTGCAGCGCTGAGCTCTAGCAGCGGAGCGACTCACACACGGAGCGAGCACTGCAATTGTGGTGGCGATCTCCGGCTATGAGGACGGTTAAGACCGGACACGATGACTGCACGCTCCACATATGCACGTTAGCAGACAATGACGTTCACGGCCTCATACTTGCCGTTTGTGTTCACTATGTGGAGGAGCATATCAATGTGAATTTCTACAGACTGGAAGATCTCTAGTTACGATGGAAATTTAATCGTTCGGTTACGAAGGTAGGAGAGAAGCCTGTGACCGACAGGAGCGGTTGGGTGCGGCGCACGGCAGACGCCCGAGCAGGTGCTGTGTTAGGGCGGTGGTCCGAAACTCGCACTGAGTTGCTCGCTCTCTCTCGCCGACTGTGGGTATCTGAGGTAACTCTAAGGCACCGCCTTCAGCGCTCTTTACCTCTCTTTTTTACTCCCTCAACCCTCTCTCTATTTCTCTCAATGGGTCTTGCTGCTTGGTCTAAGAAGAGCGCTCATTTGTGCTCATCCCTGATGTTGAAAATACGTCTTGAGAAGCTTGCCATCACAGCATCAACTATTTCACCTTTGATAATTAGCTGACTTAGCTCTCTGGTCTGGCAGCGCTGCCCAGGGTTTGACGTGTCGGAGCGAGCCGATCAATGATTGGCTGACCTACAATGACGTCAGCCAAACTTTGCTTTGGATTGGTGCTTATACTTGGCACTTTGTTATAAAATTCACGTCGTGTCAGGGCAAGAAGAGCATACGTGACTACCTCGTTTAGAGACCTAAACGAGGACGTCAGACATTGCGAAAAAGTTCAATTCGATATTCATTCCGAGGTCATTCTCGATATTTTTTGATAAACCTCAATCTCAAATGTACAGAAATATCTTCCAGCCGAAAGTTCTCCTACTCTCAGAATTTCTATGCTCGTAGCCATGAATTCGTCATAAGCAACATGAATTTGTTTGACGGTGTTATGTAACTCTTGTGATGGTACACGTATTATTAGTCGATAATTCACTGCAGCACAGACGAGGCAAACTAAGTTCATTTCTTATGTCCAGCTGTTGATTTTTATCACAACTATTTTGCAGTAATAAAGAAAATATAATCAATAAACTGACTGATAATCGATAAACTAAACAAGGCTTCATAAGTGTGAATGCTGTCCTAAACGCAAAGGCATAAAAATCCATGCATGCAATGAATGCCTATTGAGAAGAATCTTCAAAATTCTGCATGCAGAATAACTTCTTTATGCATTATGATAGCAGTTCGATAACCAAAACTTCCAGCAGCAGAGTCATTATATATTAGCTCGTTGAAAGCATGATTATTTTCTAATTTATTGACATAAAAGAACACCGGCTCATGCAGTTCATCACAGCTACCGTTCCAGCGGTGACTGCGACAAAGCCGCATGCAATCATTTCGACCAAAATTTGTAATAAGAAATACCAACAGACATTCTTCAGAGAAGAAAAATACCGTACAATTATCATGCTTAACGTCTTAGAAATTTGAAACAAAAAAATTTGAAATTTGAAAAAATATTCAGACTAGGTGAGCAACAATAAAACAGATTATTTATTTAGTTCTCGATTCAGTTCAGTGAGCACCGAAAACAAATTACTATTTTACGGTAATAATGTTAGAAAATTCTAATCTACATTAAGCAGAGTCTCATCAGTAATTTGATTACTTTAAAAAATAGAATTTCTGTGCCGGTAACAGATTGTGGTCTGCCAATAATCACAAGAATTGCCTCAACGAGGCCGCGACACGACAGGAGGCTTCACTGCCGCCCTCAGTGGCCGACAAATGTTCACAGGACGCCAAAAATTCCACGCATCCGCATCAGAAGCCGTAAAAATATACTTAAAATAATATGCGTTCAAAAATTACCTATTAAAGACAACACTTCTAAAGAATCCAGTATCTCTGATGCTACAAATGTACAATAATTTCTAATTTTTATTTTCAAATATTCAAAAAAGTAATGTTCAAATTTTTTTAATATATAAAAATTTTCAAAATTTTCAAATATATTTATTCTGCCAACGGAATCATACATTGTGATTGTCTCTGACTTTATGCAAGTTTGCAAAATTTCAGATCGATTGGATAGGTAGAAATGTGTTAAATATGGATTATAAGATTTGTAGCAGACAAAATTATTTTAAATTTTTCTTAATATTGAAGAAAAAAATTAATTATCACAGCAATTATCAATTATTAATTAATTATCAATTAATTATCAATGCCTGAACCAATTCTGTCAATTGGTTCAGGCATTGTCTCCAACTTTACGCAAGTGTACAAAATTTCATATCGATTGGACAGGTAGAAGTGCGTCAAATATCGATAAGAGTTTTAGAAGTCAAAATTATATTAAATTTTCCTTAATATTGAATTTATTTTAATTTAAAAATTATTTATTCTGTCAATTAATTCATGCATTGTCTCCAACTTTACGCAAGTGTGCAAATTTTCAGATCGATTGGACAGGTGGAAGTGGGTTAAATATCGATTATAACATTTGTAGCAGACAATTATTTCAAAATGTTTCTTAATATTGAAAAAATTTTACTCATAAATTTATTAATTCTGTCAATTTATTCATGCATTGTCTCCAATTTTACGCAACCTTGCAAAATTTCAGATCGATTGGACAGGTAGAAGTATGTTATATGTCGATTATAAGACTTGTAGCAGACAAGATTATTTTAAAATTTTTCTTAATATTGAAAAAAATTAATTTTTAGAAGAATTTATTCTGTCAATTGATTCATGCATTGTCTCCAACTTTAAGCAAGTGTGCAAAATTTCCGATCGATTGGAGAGGTAGAAGTGTGTTAAATATAGATTATGAGATTTGTAGCAGACAAACAAACAAACAAGAAGTGAATTTAAAGAGAAGTGTTGTAATACCGGCAAATGTGCATATAACTGTCTATACGCGTACGAACAATGACCAGAGAATTCATTATAGTCTAATTTGCAGGGAATCAAAATTCTTCAGATGACGTTGGCAGATCAGCAGGCATATGGAAAAACACTTTTTCAAAATTTGCGCTACTCTGGAGTAATTGGACCAACAACTGCTACTTAGAGTATTTCAAACATGCATCCGTCATCTCAAAATTACCGATGAATTCAACTCACTTGGTTATACCTTAATACAAAGTCAAGCTGCGGACTATACGAAAAAAATGGACTCTGCAAAAAAGCGAGAGTTCTCCAAGAAGCCGATGTAGTCTGTAAATTTTGCTTCAAAGAAGTTTGTAGACTTCATCATTTGGACTACATTGAAGTTATTNTATACGAAAAAAATGGACTCTGCAAAAAAGCGAGAGTTCTCCAAGAAGCCGATGTAGTCTGTAAATTTTGCTTCAAAGAAGTTTGTAGACTTCATCATTTGGACTACATTGAAGTTATTTGACAATAACGACGACATTGAGACCGTCTCACCTGCCACCTACAGTCTGGAGTACACGGGAACCCCTTGAGATAAGCTCACAAGACCGTCGCTTGCACTGTGCTATAGGAAGCCACAAGTTTCGTTATTATGCAGCGGCGCCCAATATTAACCGACATACGATTGCTGGCCGATTCCAGCAAACTGTTTTGAAACTACCGAAATTATCTGAACTTTGAGATAGTTTTCGGAGTCATTTTCCGTTTAAAATTTCCTTGTTGTGTCCTATTTATATGTATTATGTACCTATGTCCACCAAAATTTCATTCTTCAATGCTTTTAACGAAAATGAATGTTGATACATTCGAAGCGTCGTTAAATATATTATAAACCCTTGCTGAGACCTACCTTTTGATCTGCTATCGTCATCTGAATAATTTTGATCCCTGCAAATTGGAATATAATGCATTCTCTGGTCATTATTCGTACGCGCTCCAACAAGAAAATTCTGCCATCTAATGCTAATAACTGTCCATGTATATAACCGTTTATGTACATAACTGTCTACGTACATAATTGTTTCTGTTCATAACTGTCTATGTACATAACTGTCTTCGTACATACTGTAACTGTCTATGTACATAACTGTCTTTGTACATAACTGTCTTTGTATATAACTGTCTATGTGCATAACTGTCTATGTACAAAACTGTCTATGTACGTTACTGTCTCTTTACGCTACTTAACTCGTGTACGGTAGTAATGATACAATTTATTGGGATATAGATTTCATATATCTAAATTTCTGGTCCCAAATATAAATGTTACCGTTCGTTTATAGGTACTTATTTGAGTAGTCCATCGAGCAATTTGTTAAAATCTATCTGAAAGGCAAAATTATTAACATCGTTTCGATGGCTCTTGAATTAAATTTAATTTCTTTTTAAATATAATTCCTACCTTGAACTTTTAAAACGGTTTACTGCAATATTTTTAAATTCTCATTGATACCTTTCCATAATTTTAACAATCCTGTAATAATTGAATCTGCTTACATAAATCCGAGGAATAAAAGTAATTGAAGAAAATTTATGAGCAATATTTACGTAAACTACGCAAATAATTTAACTCCGACTTTCTCCTGTGAGTAAAACCCTGAATGTAGAAATAAAATTTTATTCAAACGCAGGATATCCATGTGTTTTTAAACTTGTTCCACTGAAAATAACTCTCATGATGTTCTGCATAAACACCAGATTTATTTTTTTTTTCTTTAAAAAGTCTGCTACTTTTTCTGATTACCTTCATTTTCCGTTTGCTATGAATGTCTCCGCTTCTTTTAAAGCAAAAATTTAGATGTGAATTATGTGATGAGATATAATCTTCATTCTACGGAAAAGTTTGCCTGTAATTTATGTGAAAAAATAAAATTTTATGGGATATGAATTTTTTAATGCTGAGTAAATGTTTCCATTCTAACCTATTCGTTTGCAATTGTTCTTAGTGTTGTTGTTGGATAAACTGAGCTCTTCACTAGAAGTTTGAATAACTTTTCATCTTAGTTTTTCATTTTAATGCGCAATGATCACTCATTTTAGTTCAAAAATTTTCAAATTAAAACCAATTAATCCACATTTTTCAATTTAGTCAGCACCGCTTAGACTTTTTACAAAGTTTTCCTTCGCTTTAAGTTCAAAGTCGAACTTTTGGCCGGAAATTAGGGGCTTAGTCCCGGCAGGTCTGACAAACGATGAAAACTTCATTTAATTCCAGGAGGATGTCCCGAAAATGTGCTTTAGGGAGCAAATTTTGAAGAAGTATCGTCCTTAAAATTAAAATGTTCGAGACGATTTACAGAAAGTTATTTAAACTTTTTCTATTAAAATCTGGCTATGAGTGAAATTAAGCAAAAAAAATTCTGGAGAATT